TATTATGATTCCAAGTGACAGAATTCGCCTGGTTACAAGCGACACAGCCACTGCATCCCGTCACTTTGAGACATAAAGTTGACATGATTAGTGTCGTATTCCAGAATTCTACTCAATGCTCAAGTCAGGATTTGAGTAGACTTGAGTACGATTTCAAGCACTGGAAATACGATCCTAATGACAAGGACTTGAGTATGATTTTCAGTGCTCACTGCAATACTCAAGTCCTGACTTCAGTATTGAGTAGAGTTTGGAATACGACCCTTATTGTTGATCTTGTTGCAAGAATCTCACGAACCTTGCAATTTTCTATTGCTATTTATCAAACTATCACATTCTTTTATTCTTACAAAAAGGACAACGAGTGTTAGTTTAGATTTTGGACAACGCAATAAAGTACATAGGTAGGTACATTTGTAGTAATTTTTTTTAATGATACTTAGTGATGGGACGAATTAGTCGTGCGTCTGATGGTAAACGACACGCAGTGCCACTTAGAGCTTTAAATCGCAAAGATCTGAGGTTCACCCCTGCCTCTGCGCCTATCACCCTGAGACATAAGTTGAAAAGTCCCATGTGCTTGTAATTTCACTAGCACCCTTACCCTTTAAATCCGGAACGCAGTAATGCTTGCATTACTGCTTGGCGGCAGAAATAGGTAAGGTGGCAGTACTTCCCTGGACGAACTCTTTCACAAGGAGCTCTACTGCTACTACTACATACATAAACTGCACTACGTGGGTATAGTGAAACCCAACAAATGTAAAAAACCATTTTTCGATTTTATATGTAAGTCGTTGTTGGTAGTGCTTTTTGTGTTTTGCTGCACTTTTACAAGTAAGTACACACTATTTTATATGAGTACAAAACAACTGGATTCAAAATATAATAATTCATACAATAACTTTTTGTTTTATAACAACCAACCAACTGTGAAACCTAGTGTAAACTAGAAAAAAAAACACGATTTTGATGCTAATAGTAAAAAACATCTAAGGGGTTTTTCAACAAGAACTTTGTTTTGTAAATCAATATAAAACAATAAATTTAGATGACAATAATTAAAATTTTTATTGTATTAAAAAAAAGTAAGGTTTGGTGATTATGAATGAAACATTATATCTGATAAATGTCCACGACGACCACAGTTACAGATGTCGATTCTTTCATTAAAGTTTTTAATCACTTTTTGACAAAATGGTAGGTCTATTTCGTTAATCACTTCACGAATTTTTAATTTTAAGGCTGTAATCGATTCGATTGGCTCCGCACAGACTCTGTCTTTGACATTGCCCCATAACAGTAATTGCGAGATAAAAGAGTGTCCGAGACTCGGTCTTGTTCTTGTTTCAATTTTGCAGAGTCGGTTCTGGCTTTACTAGAATTAGGTGGTCTTGGTTTTGGACTAGCAAAAATACAAGAATAAAACTGCAAAACCGAACCTATTTTCGCCAACACTACTGAAAAAAGCACAGCTTAGGTAAGTGGTTGGTGATAAAACAAAATCAATTGTTAATTTACATTTAGGTATCGGAAATAGGTACTTGCTTAGCTCATACCACTTAACTGATATTTTGCAAGCATTTTGATCGGTAGGTTTGTTGGGCCACATGCACCCATCCCGTTATAAATTTATTTCCTTTTTAAAAGGAAAAAAGTACTAAGTAAATACTAACTACGTGGTCTTAAATTAGGGAATTCGCTATATATGAACACTGGAGCAAAGGAATCTCCTCTGGGGCACTTTCCAGAACAATCCTACAATGAAAAATTTTTACGTTCTTGCTAGCCTGCAATAGTTTTAACCGCCAAAAAAAGGAGGAGGTTCTCAATTCGTGCGTATTTTTTTTAGTGTATGTTACTCCAAAACTCTTCACTATTTGTGAACCGATTTTGATGATTTTTTTTGTTGTATAGAAGGTACCTCAGTAAGTAGTGGTCCCATTAAAATTCGAACACAGTAAATGGTTGTAACAGAGCAATTAAATTAATTGCCTTTTACGAAATTGATTTTAAAGTAGGTAAATAATGAACTTGAATAGGTAAATTGAATAATAACAGTAAATTTATATTACAAAGCTTAGTAGCAAAACAGCTAAGTTATACTGAACAAGGTGTACAAGCGAAGAAGATTGAAATTAAACGAAAAGTTTGGTCCATCGACTTTAAATGTAATTTAATTGTAAAATTTAAATGTAATTTAATGTAAGACAAAAGGATTAAGTGAAAGGATAAGGTTCTTTAGTCAATTATCAAAATATATATCAAAATATCCTTGATAATAGAGGATTATCTCTTGCTTTAATTAGGAAGAATTAGGAGAAATTCAAAGAAAGTTAACAAAATGATTCTAAAGGCACGAAATCCATTCAACATTATAGCTTAAGCCATCTCCTTAGAAGGAATTGTTGGACAGGTATTGATTAACAAAGCAAATTTTCAACCGTGACCATGGGACCTGTAAAAGGCCGGAAACGTCAGTTTGTTTGAAAAAACAAATAAACGCGATTTAAATCCGGAAAAATAGTTTCATTTCCTATAAAGCAAATTTTTATCACTTTATCAGATTCATCAACTGCAATATAAATATACGATATACACGCGGTGTCAATAGTACACAGGAACCTTACTTGCAATAGTAGTATGTCTCGCGCAATGTTTATTGACATATTTAACATGGACGTATGTTTGGTAAGTTTACATTTTGCAGATGTGGCGTTATTACACCAAGGGCATTGTGTGGCTACTGATTATTATTCACATATTGTTACGTAAGGTACGGTTTATAAATAATTTCGAAGGAACCAATTAATTTTAGACAGAAACCTGCATATCATTATATATCTGTATCTCATTCCTATTATAGTAGTTTTTGTGTTCTATTTATTACTTTATATTAGAAACTTGAAATATTTTTCCAAAAATATTTTCAATGTGTAGACTTGACCCCGCTATGGTTTTTTACTTTACAATAGTCATTGAGTATGTTATTTAATGAATAGAGGATAAAAAACCTTGAGATGTGATTGGCTAATTTTCAGGTTAGTTTTCTCTAACTAATTTCGGTAGCAATTTTTATTACTTAAATATTCTAGAATATTATATTGAAGTATTACTAAATATTCGAGTGCAGTATCCTGAAATATATATTTTTTTTTATAATGCCAAGCGACGGGACGAACAAGAACGGCTAGCAGATAACAGCGGTGCCGCACGGAGTTTTAAATTGCAAAGATTTTTAAGGGCACAGCCACTACGCCCGTCACCCTGAGACAAGTCCCAAGTGCCTGTAATTTCACCAGCACCCGTCCCAACTGGAACGCAGTAATTCTCCTAGTTCAGAGGACCAGCCTCCATAGCTAAATTATATTTTGATGTTATGTAAAGCATCTATTTTTATTTTTACAGCACTGTTTGTGGAGACAATAAATGATTTATTATTATTATAGTAATATTCACACTGTACTGCTTGGCGGCAGAAACGGGTAAGGTGGCCGTAGTTCCCTGCTTTCACAAGGAGCTCTACTGCTACTAATATTTGACGATTACTTAAATAATAAAAATTGCTATCGAAATTAGGTAGTGTAAACTGAGATGAAAATTACCCGATTTTTAATTTAAAGTATGTGTTACTTAAAGTTAACAACGGGACTCATTTAGTATCATATCATATGTATATATCGCTTATTTGGTGCTACATTGATGTAATTGTAATTTTGGCAAATTTGGATAAAGGATGTTAATATGTAATTAATTAAGTCTTAATTCAATTATGCCAAAATTGCAATTAAGTCAATGTTGCACTAAATGAGCGAATCACATATCCATTTCACAACTTTTTGTGTTTTGTATTTTTATTTCATAATAGCGTAGATAATACGTTTTCTGTCTCATAAAACGTAGCGCATTTGAAAGTACATTTCGTTACTTACGATTACAATTGATAAAATAATGTAAAGCCCTTGAAATTACAGGTTTCGAATTTTATTGGTATTTAAGATCGCTACTTGGAAGTGCTTATTATCAAGTTGTAAGAATAATGTAATTAAGGTTTACCAAAGTATTATTATAGTTTGAAGTATATAATTACGGGCTTTATTACGGATAAGTACAGAAGTCGATCAGATATTTTTTTAAATAAATTAATAAGTACTTAGTGAATACGTAATTTACAAGGTGTGTTTTAGTGTACAGAGAACTCACCCAAAACTAATATTATAAATGCGAAAGTAACTCTATCTGTTACGTTTTCACGCCTAAGCCGCTGAACCAATTTTAATGAATGGTATAGAGATAGATGAGAATGGGAGAATGACATAGGCTACTTTTTGTCACAAAAATAAGTCTTAAAGGGCATGAAATAGGGGATGAAAGTTTATATAGAGAACCAATAAAACTATGAACGTGGGCACCAGCTACTTTTAATATAAACTAAGGTACCTACCTAATACAATAATAATATTTTGGTGTTACTTATGTCTTCTTTTAAGATCAAAATATTACTTTTTCCTAATTAATTGAACTATCATTTCCTACTCACATTAGATTCGCGCTATGGCATAAACACTCGGTTTAGAGGAGACCCATGCTGTGGGACTTTTTTCGATTTAATTTGAATTTTAACAAAAATATCTCACGTTTCTTCTCGTGATCGTCATCGTTGTCCTAGGTGCATAAATATATAAGTGGCGTAACGCCTGTTTAATATAAGTCGATGGACGGATCGCTCATAATGAGCTCTGCGGGTCCGATCAATCACTATACGTCATCGATGAATATCAACCAACGTAACATAAGTTTCAGGCCGTACCTAATTATCAAAACAAATAAATAAGATACGTTCGGTGTACAATAGGCAGCTTTATAGTTACATAGCAATATCTTCCAGGCAACATAGGATATAAATTTAAGAGAACGGAGGAAATATGCGGTCCAAGGTTGCTCTAGCTATTTATGAGAATTACATAGAATGAATTTTGTATAATTATGAAGTAAGTTACCCATGAGAATCCGATGCATCCTATGCCTCCTGACAGCATGTCGCCTAGGATGGAGGGATACCCGTTGCCCGACGGGAAGTACGCGTGGAAACGTGGGTGCTGCCAGTGCGTGACCCCTGGCATGATCTTGTTCTCCACGTCATTCATCACGTCTTCCCACGGCTCCGGCTGCAGCGGCGGGTCCTCCGGCAGCGCTGTCCTAAGGTAACCCGGTTCCACCGAAGGTGTCACCCGTCGCTTATTCAATGTCTTCATATAAGTACAGATGTAGTCCACCATCTCCTTCCCCCGGATGCGAAACTCTTCGGTGTCCATTGCTGTGGGTTGAAACTTCTTCCCAGTCCTATACTCCTATTGGCTAATACGGTGGTTGGCGAGATGTCAGCCGCGCGGCGGTCTCCGCGTCACTCCGCGACCGCACCACTCGGTGCTGGAGAGCGGGCGAAGCGGGGCGCGGGGTGCGATCGTCGCAGAGGGTTGATGCAAACCATAACACTGAACGTATGCGGTACAAATGAGCGATAAGCGACTACGCGTACATTTTTTAAATAATTTCCTTTTGATACCTAGAATTCCAAATAAACGACTATATTTTAAATGCAAAACCCATAAAATATGGACATTACACTTACTAGTAATTAATACTTAGTCAATTGAATTACTTGACAAGTTACAGAGGCTAAGACTTATATACAAAAGTTGCAATAGAGAATTTAAAAAAAAGCCATCGATTGTCATTTGTGACTTTGGTGGTCATTTGTTTTACTTGAAAATTTCCAAAGTCTATCTCATTAATTTCAAAGTCCTTAAGAGACGTAGTATCGTTAGATTAGCAATATCTCAAATTATAATAAAATAAAAATTTGTTTTTTTTTTACTAAAAATCCGTTCTTACTTTACCCCCGTTTCCGCTTCACTCATGACCATGTCGCGAGGCGGTTCGCCCGCGTCCAATGATCGCGGTCGCACCGCCCGCCCTCAAAGCCACTTCATTGACTCAGCTGAATGTGGTACCCATTTGGCTTTTCTCACGTTCTTTCAATTTTTTAATTCGGCCTCCATAGATTTTAATTTACTTTACTTATTTCCTTACTTACTTTACTTATTTAAAATGAAACCGGTCAAGTGATGGAACCCACATACCGAAGGTTCCGTACCCTATTTAACATGTAAAGACTAAAGGCATTGCTCAATAATGTAACGAGTGGTTGACAAGACCTGTAAATTTAATGGGCGTTAACTATACAGGCCTTTCTTTTATCAAAGCAAAGCTGGAGTCAGCATGTTACTTAATTGGAGCTGTTAAGCTCCAGTCCATTAGGACGTTTGTGTAATTGTGCGCTACAATGTAAAACATCGGAATTTCGTTTATTTTTCCTCTGATACCATAATACACTCTTTTTATCAGCCCTGAGAATCTTTTGTCGTATTAATATTATTTTAATCGATTTCATTGAAAAACTAATTATAGATGGTTTGGAATCAAATCTATCTATCTAGTACCTACTGTTACGCTGCGTATTCAAATACAACACAAGAACCTCGTCCAAAAAGCGACTTCCGCGCAAGTACACACACGCGTCGAATACTTATGTGAACTTTAAGTAATATAGGAACAATGAAATCATTCATAATACTAAACATTCAAAGACGTTTAATCTTTGATAAAGAACATAAACATTTTATAAGTATCCAATAAGTAACCAAGAAATGCGAGCAGCAATCTTGTATATAAAATCGAACACAATATTTAAATTGGATTGAACTAGCATCAACAATCACCTAAGAATATTTCTAGGCAAGTGTAGATATTTCGTATTATTATTGGTACAATTGAACAAACTAAAAAAAAATTTGTTCAATCCGTTTAGACTTGAACCAGCGTCTGTAGCCTCGTAGCCACGTTGAATGATAATAACAAAGTAATGGAGAGTTATTACAAAAAATAGATCAATATCATAGTAGTAAAAACGTCATGATGTTCTATAAAATAAAATATTGAAATTTTGTATTTTTAATAGTCCAGCCAAGACCGCATGAAGTTTGAGACTTCCGACTTTGGGCCGTTTTAGGCATTTAATGCAGTATTTTTAAATGGACCATTCAATAAAAAATAGTGGTACATGTATGGACTCCGCTGCAAGTTTCCATATGACGGTGAGTGAAGTGTTATTGGAAGATGCATCAACTTAGCCAATGGTTAAAAGAACCTTGGTTGCCAATAAACAATCGTCTTCCAGTAGTGACATATGGTGATGTACAAATCAAGACGTGCCATCAAAACGATAAAGTCGAAGATATGTGTTGTAACAAAACGTAGTTGCGATCTACGAACCTTTGCTACCTATTAATAGAGAAGTACCATCTGAAACAATTTGTAGGAATTGTTATAACTCCTATACCTACGCAGGGCAATACACGAGTAATAAATGAGATTAAATACAGACATTAAATTTTGCCTTTCCAATTTGAACAAGGAATTTATTGAACGCCAATCAAATTGGAATTAATAATCCACGTAATACCCGATTTAATAATACTTAGAAGAGCGAGTTAAGTAATGACCAGTAGGGCTAACATAACAGGGCGTAACTAGCGCGAGATACTGCTGTTAGTGCATAGACATCTCGCATTTTATGTCGCTCACGCGCAAGTCGTGCCCATCGTGCGCTCTACAGACACGGGAAAGGCAGAATATATCGATATATATATATATATCCTCAGTGTGCATAACTCACGTTGCCTGAAAATGCATATTTTTAACCGACTTCAAAAAACTAAGAGTTTCTAGATTCGTTTGTAATTATTTTTGTGTGTACGTTACGCGATTACTACGATACTTGCGATGATTCTTTTTGTTGGAGAGAAGGCATCTCAGTAGTGGTCCCATACAAATTTGATGAAAATGTTCCTTCCACCGCTAAGATTCAGATTCAGGTTCATTTATTTCTCAAATATAACATTACAGTATAAATTGCACTACATGTCAAAGTATAAGAAATTATATTGAGATCGTCAGACAAAAAGGAAAATTATAAGAAAAGCACACAATAATTAGAAAATTAACAATTCATTATATAATATTGTTGTCATTAAATTATATATCAAATATCATTCTCCATCAAGGATCGTCATAAGTTGATAACAATTATACAAGAGTATGTTAATGCGGTAAAAATTAGAATAAAAATAGAAAATACTGAATTCGTTACAATTTAAAGTCCATAAATTCTTTTACGGAGTATATAGGATTTTTCAAGAAAAGGTCTTTCAGCCGGCGCCCAAATATTTCGTCAGACGGTTTAAGTCTGAGAGTAGCGGGTAAACGCTCATAGTAAGTAGGTCCGATGACACGCGTGGCAAATTAGAGGATAAACCCTGTTTATTGAATTTCACCAACTTTCCCTTAATCGATTTCAATATATACTTGGTAAATATATGTAATTCCAATGAAATTGTTATGGTGACCTAGAGTATATTTGATGATGGAATTGGCAGACAGATGTGAGGAACTCCTCAAAAATCATAGATGTTTTCAATGATTATGATATGTTTTTAAAATTAAACTTTTGCATTATTGAAATATTGCATAGGCTCTTGTAAGCCTCCCATTTGGGTTTATTATTTAACTGCCTCCGTGGCTGAACGGTTACCATGCCGGACTGCTACGCAGAGGTCCCAGGTTCGATTCCCGGGCCGGGAGAAATATTTGTATGGCCTACATTTGTTTCTCCCGTGAGTTATATGTGTGTCCGTGGCACCCGCGACACAGGGTTTTCCTAGTGCGGGGCTATGTTGAGTGTGTGAGTTATTATTACTATTATTAACTTGGAATTTATTGTTAATGTTTAGACAGTTCTTGGCAAATGTTGTGTATGCCTATAATTGGCAAGCATATTTATATTGATACCACTATTTGTAATGTCTTATGCCGCGAAATGTTATATATGGTTTGCTGTTAGTATACATACCTTTTTATAAAAATAAACAATGTACAGCAGCTACCTTGTGTTTGGGCTCATATGATACGTTCAAAACGTAGAGGACTCACATATGCACTTCAGTTAACTTTGACAAGATCGACGATGTAACGAACACAGCGAAAGCGGATAAGCAAACCTAAAAGGTTGGTCTTCTTTTTAAAGTAAAATTATTACATTCTCTATTAAAAAAATATATAATTTATAGGCATTCATTTATAGGCATTATTCATAAATAAAAGTTTACGCCTCAACGCACATTGATAGTGAAAGCGGTCTAAAGATTAGGAAGTCAATCATGCCTCTGGCTGTTGCCAGGTGTTGCTTCAAATACGTCTCATCTATAATATGGAATGTCCGTTCAAATTAAAGAAATAATAATTCATAAGCAAAATACAAAATACAATAAAAAAAACATTAAATAAGAGAAATCTAACAAAAAAACAAATTACAACGACAACAAATTTTGTACTGTCTTTTGTGCGGTTGTGTCGTACGCAAAAGGACTTTATTCAGCATAGGCCACAGTTATAATTGACTGTGGCGCTGGTTTTCAATGAGGCCTGAGCCGAGTTGAGTGATGGACGTGTGTGTCGCGAAAGAACTTATTATTGTATAGTTATTATTATTTGTATTTCATATTACGCATATAGCGTATTTGTGATACATTTTACTGTGATTAAAAAAAATTGTGTGTTAAGACTATGGCACACGGGTAGTTTTTGTACACCTACTTCCGCGTTGCAGTGAAAAATTAAATTGCGTTTATACTCGTTTTCAATTGTTAGTGCGGGCTGTTTTTATTATAAATTTGCATATTTTTTTTGTATTGAATTCATTGACCTACCAAACTGAATTGTATGTCAAATAACTACTTTGTTATTATAATATTTACCTAAAATTCAAGTAATACTAACAGAGTAGATAATACCTCTCTCTCTCTCTCTGATATTCCGGAATTATTAAAAAATAAAAGAAAAAACATAGTTATATTTGTAGGCTTTGTAGGTACTTACAATTACAAAACTTTCTTCTAAATACACTTACCAATTTTATTAACAAAATTATGAAGATATTTATTTTCTTTGATAATTGATAATTATCCATGCTGATTCATAGTTTTGTCTCTTTAATTTTTTACTACAAATGGCAAACACAAAACTTAGCGAACACGAAGAAAAATCTTTGGAAAAACAATTAACTTTGTGACTTTTTTGACATTCGACACAAACACGTAGTGCCAACGCGCACGTGCTATTATAGCAGCGGTAGCAATTTTTAGTTCTAATTAATTTTATAAATATCAACGTATGTTTATTAAGATAATTATTGTGATAACTTCCGACCCTGTCTATAAATACTATTACAAAAACTAAAGTAGTTGTTACGGTTAATGCGTATATAATTCAAGACAGAAATATAAAGTCATAGAAAATTGAAAAAGAAAACAATTATTGTCAAAACGAATTATGTACGTCGTACAAATCAATAGGTCGAATTTGTTACATGTTGTTAGTTCAATATACTCTACTTACTTTTCCATAATGTTAACAATTTCTTTATGATAACAAGTGAAGAGATCAATAAGTCGTGCTCCTGGCGGTAAGCGACTCGCCTGTAGGTACATAGCAATTGCTGTGCCACTCAAACTTTGAGATAGCAAACATCTAATGGGCACTGCCGCTGCGCCCGTCGCGTCACCCTGAGACATAAGTTGACAAGTCCCATGTGCCTGCCCTATTTCACCGGCACCCTTGATATTCGAAATCGGAACGCAGTAACGCTGACATTACTGCTTGGCAGCAGAAAGTGGCCAAGTGGCAGTATCTACCTGGACGAATTCTTTCACAAGCTTTACTGCTACTAAAAAGTATATGTAAAATGTATATGTATAAGTATATGTAAAAACATATGTAGGTGTTACAAAATATAATACTGAGAGCATTTATAGACACTGTCGGGCACAGTAAATGGGCGGGAGGCATTTTTAATAACTAGACATTATTTTTGGAGTAGGTAATATATTATTTTATAATCTATATATAATATTAGGATTATTATGTATTAATATAATCAACATAATATTGTTATTTATTTGATTTGTTTAGGTATCTATTTATATAGATAGAAAAGTGTATTATAGTATAATATTGTTTTGTGGCTACTATTTTTTTTTATAAATGTTTCTTAAATATTTATAATTGAGTTTGGTAGTTTATTTTTGGCAATTGTCTTGTAATTGACAATATTATTCATGGTTATTGCTGCCGACTAACTATTACCTACTTTATTTATTAGATGCGTTTTCTACTACACACGTGTGTGATACTACTAAGATATTTCACTTATTCTTTGAGATACGAATCATCTAATAAATTATCAGATGTTTTATCACACAATCGTAACATAAGATCATAATCATATACAAACCTTATAAAATTCATCACGTCTACAAAATAGATCTTGTCTATTTTGTAGACGTGATGAATTTTAGAATAGAATAGAATCATTTATTTCATATTATCAATATTATAATATCACAATTTGAAATATAATG